CCTCCAAAACCGCTCTCCCCAACTCTCCTTCCCATACCTGCACCCTTCCTCACACAGCTATGCACATCGCCGACTACCCTCGCGCTCTCGGCGAGCTTCTCGAGCTCGACAACACCATCGCCGCAACGCTCGAGTACCTTGACAAGGTTCGTCGCCGTTCTCCCTTCCCCTGACTCGTTGCTTCGGCAAGCATGTGATTGACGCATTATCGTTGACAGCACAACCTCCGCAACGAGACGCTCGTCATTGTCACCGCCGACCATGGTCACGGCTTCGACGTGCGTCCCTCCAGCCTCGGCCTTCTTGCTCCGTTCGTTGACGCGGTGGCGTAACTCTACATCCCCGGTCATACTACAGGTCTTTGGCAGCGCCGACACGAAGTACCTGAAGGCCGCTCAGGGCAACGACAAGAAGCGCAACGCGATCGGAACATGTACGTTGCGCCCCTTCTTCCCTTCCTGGCCTCCCATTTTCTCACTCCCGCATCTGGAGAGCGTCGCTCTCGCATCATGGAGCTTGCTGACCTGATCGTCTTCCGCCAGACGTCAACTCTGGCCTCAGCGGCTACCAAGTCCCGGAAGGTGTCTCGCCTCAGAACAACACCGTTGTCACTGGACCGTGGGGAGAAGGCTTCCCTGTCGATTGGCAGCCTCGTTACACCGCTGCGATGGGTTTCGCCGCCGACGTTGATCAATACGAAGATTACACTACACGCAACAAGAGTCGGACGACGTCCCTTACGAAGCTCGCCAACGGCACCTATCGCGCCGACCCGTCTGATGCGCCCGACGGCTTCTTCATCAGCGGAAACCTGCCGACGACCGATGACCAGGGCGTCCACTCGCAAGTCCACCTCCTCCTCCTCCGATTTTCCTCGCTGACCCGCCTCCTTCCACAGTCTCACGGATGTCCAGGTCTTCACCTGGGGACCGGCTGCGTCGCTCTTCAACGGCATGCAGGACTCTACCGAGATCGCCCAGAAGATCGCAGCGGCGCTCGACCTCGGCAAGGACCACAACGCCACGGCTCGCGTCCACGGCCCTCGCCACTAGGTCTTTTCTCTTCTTCATCGGTATATAAAAAGCGCCTTTCTGTAGAAGTCTGCGAACGAAGTTATTCAGTGTCTCCTCCCCTGTCCGCTCGAGCCGACGGTTGGCCGGTGCCGCTTCTGCTTCTTCTCCTCTTCGCCACGCTTTCGCACGCTCAGGATCCCGTTTAGAAGCGTTGCTGGCGTTCAGACGACTGCCTCGACCCACTCGAACCTGTCCCGACTCGTGCGACGCCCTCCCCACCTTGACTCGTTCCTCACCGCCGCGGACCCACAACGAGCACGCAACGCCGCCATGCGCAACATACGGCCAGCCGAGAGCATCTACTTCTCGCAGAGCATGCCGCCGGTTCTCGCCTGCCTCTCGCTGCCCGACACGGAGCGCTATCTCGAACGGATGGGTCTCCCTGCCGCACTCGCCTCTGAACCTCCCTCGCTCGATCTGCTCTCGCGGATCCTCATGGCGCACCATCTCAACATCCCCTACGACTCGAGCGCGATCCACGTCGGACCGGAGGATTGGCGAGGGCCCAACAAGGAGATCACTTGGCGGAAAGGTCCAGGAATGGAGATGGGCGCTCGTGGCAACTTCGACAGGGTGGTTCTGCGACGCAACGGTGGGTATTGCTACGCTCTGAACCAATTGGCTGCGTCGCTACTGCGAGGTGAGCCGTCTCTCGCCTCTAATAACGGTTAGAAGCGGCTGACTCTTCGTCTTGCAGGCTTTGGCTTCCGAGTGAGCGAGGTTGGCGCGCGAGTGTTCCTGCATCGAGGGAAGGATCCCCAGGAGGTGGGACACTGGTGGAGCCACACAACTCACATGGCGCTGATCGTCGACTGGGAGGGCTCGGATGGAAGATGGTTTCTCGATGTTGGTTCGTTGGCTTCCATCACTCTTCCCGAGCGCCGATATCGACCTCTTCACTCGCAGGATTTGGCGGCGGCGGCTCCCCTATCCCCATACCGCTCCGGGACGGCGCGACTTCACCCTCGCTTTCCCCGAGCGAATCCTTCTTGCTGCGCGAGGAGCCGATCCCGCTCGGCGAGCTCGCCGCAACAACGCACGACGCCTATCTAGGCTGGACGCTGTACCGCCGAGTGGTCGACGCGGGCGTCACCATTCCCGATCCTGCGAAAGCCGGCTCAGGTCCCGGCCACTGGACGCCTTGCATCCACTTCACGCTCGCCACCGTCTCGCCCGAAGACATCCTCGCCGGTGACTTCTACAACTCTCGACACCCACAAGCGCCCTGGGCAAACATTCTCATCGCCTCTCGACTGCTGCCGAATGGCGCTCGACGAACCATCTGCCACGGCATCCCCGCGATTGATGCTGGCGCGCCGCAGGACGGACGCAAGTATGCGAAGGTCTATTCGAAGGAGGGCATCAAGGGAGTAGAGTACGATGTTGAGTGGGTCCTGTTCGAGACGCAGCCGGTCAGGGTGGTCCTCGAGCGAGACTTTGGCTTTCAGTCCCAGTAGATCCGGGTTGTATGGGTTATAGAAGCGTCGTTGCATCATTCGTTCATACCGTCAAGCGGTCCAGCCCGTTCAAGCGTTCGTACATGTCGCGAGACCTCAAACCTCAATCTCGCTCGCCTCGCTGCACTTCTTCACCGGGTTGCTCCTCCTCGTGCGCGCCGACGAGCTTCCGTCGGCCTTCGAATCGATCTCGCCCAGCGAGCGACGCTTGGAAGGAAGAGCTTCGGAGTCGGCTTCGTCGATGTCCATCAAGTCGGGGTCCTGCGAAGCGCAAGAGTCAGCAGCAGCGCGGAGCAGGACGCCCGTGCTCGTAAACTCACCTGCCTGTACGACGAAGCACGATGGAAGGGATCGTTGGCGAGCTTGGCAGGCGCCTTGCCCTTGCCCTTCTTGTCGAAGCGCGGAACATAGGAAGACTTCGGCGCTTCAAAGACAGGCAGACGAGGCGCGGCAGCAGCTTTGGAGAGCGCAGCAGAAGCAGACGACGAGTTGGCGGGCGTCGAGAAGATCTCGGTCGACTCGCGACGAAGGATGCCGTTCGCAGGCTGCGAAGCGTTGTCGACGATCGAGTCGGCTTGGGAAGCATCCATAGTCTGCGCACGGGAAGGTGCGGGAGAAGGCGTCGCCTCGACGAGGACAGCAGCTTGACGAGAGCCGGAAGCGGAAGGCTGAGCATTCTGCGCATCTTCGAAGCGGCAGACCTGCGAGGCAAAGGTGAGCGGGTCGGAGCGGACAACGGGCTGCGCTGGACATGCCATCGCAGCGTCCTCTTGCTGTCCGTCAGCATCAGCGTCCGCGTCGCTCAACTCGAGAGCAGCGGTGAAAGCGAGTTCGGCGCCTTGGCCAGGGTTGAAGTACTCGAGCTTCTTGCGCTTGACCTGCTTCGGGTGCCTGCAAGCAAGACTTGAGGATCGAAGGAAGACTGATCGATGGAAAGCGAGACGCACTTGTTAACGCAGAGAGCGGGAGCCCTCATCGATTCGGGCTGCGTGCTGTTCTTGCCGCGCTGGCGACGGGTCCCAGTCTGCTCGAGGACGAAGTCTTCAGCCTTGAGGCGCTTGAGCACCTGTCCTGCGGTAGCATTGTCGACGTCTGCGCACGCAGGATCAGTAGCGCTACGCGGCAGACTCGACCGCGACGCACCGAGGCGCTCCGCCAGTTCCTTCATGCCGAGCAGACCCTCCCTGTAGACGATGGCGAGCGCTGTGAAGGCAAGTTGAGCCTCGAAACAACGCTTGAACTAGCTCAGGACGCACCACGGCGGAAGAGCGCCAAACTCTGCAAGTCCGCAATCGCTTGCTCAATTTCGGCCTCCCTGTCGGGGTCGAGGATGGATTCGGCGATGCCGGCCTGCGTGCGGCAGTGGTAGCAGACGAACACGTCGGGGATGCGGCTGTCCTTGACGGTCTCGAAGCCGTAGCAGGCGGCGTGCTTCCAGACCTCGCAGTCTGCCGGGCGAGCGCGGGTGAGGTAGAGGCTGATCAGAGCTGAAAAGTCACGCACTCGAGCAGCAGATCATCCCGCCGTCGTCCGACTTGTCGCCTGCGATTCGCTCAAGTCAGCCTCAACCCGTCTCACAGGCAAGTGAAGGACGCACCGCACTCGCACGCATCTCCAGCGAACTTCGAGCGATTCCTCGAGCTCTTCGCGGTCGGACGCTTGCTCTTCGTCTCGGCGGTCTTCGTTGCCTTCTTTGGCGACGTCTGCATCTCCTGCGTCTGAACCGTGTCCGGCTCTGCCTCCTCGTCCGACTCTTCGTCGACGATCTGCGCTTCCGGGAGCGTCTGGCTGTCTGCGAGCGAGATGATCGCGGTCAGGTCAAGCCGCACGAAAAAGGGAGTCGCACGCACAGTCGAACAGCTGCGTCTCGACAGGCATCTCGTCCCGCTTGTCCTTGCGGTCGTCACCTTTCTGCTGCGAGGCCTGCGGCACCTGCGGCTCGGTAGCTTGACTGGCCGAGATGCGCTGGTTGTACTGCTCCGTCGACTCGCCGAAGAGGGGGACAGGAGGGCGGCACGAGCGCTGGCGCGAGACGACTGGCGCGACCTGCGTGGCGGGGGAGCTCGTCGAGGGCGGGCGTTTATCGGTGGCAGCGATCTGTCGTGCGATGGCAACGTCAGCAATCAAAGCAGGGCGGAAAAGTGACCTGGACGCACTGCTCGACGCAGCGCCTCGTTGTCCGAAATGTTCGAGTCGACAAGCGTCTCCTCCATGTGACCCTTGGCGACGACAAGTGCGTCCTCGTTAAACTCGATCCCGATCTTCTGCCTCAAGTGCGCCATCTCCTCGCTCTCGGCCGAGCTGACGAGCTCGAACGGGATAATCTTGCCGGAAGGATCCTTGACGGCGACAGGCTCGGCCACGACGAGTTTGTCGTCCTCGTCCGTGACTCGCTCGGCGAGACTCTCGGCGTTCCAGACGACTGGACGAGAGGCGGCATCGCGCTTGTTGCGGACGAGCGCCTCGTCGAGCGAGATGTTCTCGTCGTACGAGGTGTCGAGGACATGGGCGATCGAGACGGAGTGGAGGGCGACGCTGCGCGAGGCATACATGGTCAGAGCGAGCGTCGAGGTGCAAGGGGAGTTGAGCGCACCCGTGGAAGCCAGTCGCCACCGTCCCGAGCGTGCCAAAGTCGGGCTCGTCCGCGACAGTGGGCGTGCTGAAGCTATACCCAGGGGCGTCGATCGCGACAGGGCGGAAGTGCGGTGGCTCGTACTCGGGCGGCGTGTCATCTGTGTAGAAGAGGCGGACGTTGAGGAAGCGGCGACGAGGCAGCTCGTCGAGGACTTGAGTGCTCGTGATAAGGTTCTTGATCATTTGCTGGACTTGCCGCTTGACGTCGCCTTCCTTGCGAGTATTGTCGCGCGAAGTGTGCCCGAACATCGACGATGAGATGACCATACCGCTCAGCTGGTCTTGCACGACAAGCTCGGGTTTCTGCGGGTGCAAGATTAGCGAGTCAGTCTGAGCCGAGGAGAGTGAGACTGCGGGACGAACCTTGTTGCCCTCCGGGTCTGTCTCGTAGCTGAAGGTGAACGTGTAGCTCTCGACGAGGTTGGTCGGGTCGTCCGGATCGAGGTAGATGGCGAAGACTGCGTGAGCGAGCTCAGCCAGACTCGCGCGCATGAACGACTAGTACACTCACCGAGCTGGTGAAGGTAGCCCTTCTCGATCGCTTCGGTCGCACCCACCTCCTGCGTATGCGAGTGATGATGAGCGGAAGCGAGCGCGTCAGCACTGTGCGCGGGACGCACGAGGTAGTCGAGCAGCTTGTCTGCCTCGCTCGACGAACCCCTCTTCAGTTTCTTCACCCTGACAGACGACGGCGTGTTCTCCTTTGCAGGGTCCTCGGAGCGTTCCCTTTTCGAGCTCGAGCGAGAGACGGGAGGGCGAGGGGCGAGCAGCTTGTAGTCTTCAAACGAGTCTTCGGGGAGGAGACCGCTGTTAAGGGGCGAAACGACCTCGCGTCAGCCTCGCCTGCCTCGCGACTTGCGGTAGATCAGGCAAACGCCTGTACTGAAGCCTGCAGCAGCCAGGAAAGGGAGGGCGAGCGCACCGCAAGTAGGCGACACAGCCGATCCCAGCTTCGAGCAGTTCCTGGGGGCGAATCCGCGGGTTAGGCGCGTCTGCGGGGCTCGCGTGGAAGTACGAGCGCACCTTGACCTGCTGCAAGCTCGACTGGATCGTGACCTGGCGGTCGACGGCCTGCGCCTGTTGCGGTCGCAGTTTCTGCGCGAGAGACGGCGAGCGTGAGCGTGGGATGGCTCGCACGGCGCGTGCTAGCAGCCCTGTAGCTCACCTGGGCCATCCTGGCTGGTCAGCGAGCGTCACAAGCGAGTGTCGTGGTTGAGTAGGAAGTCAAGAGGAGGTTGACATTGGCGAGCGAGGTCAGCTTCCCACAACAACGCTCATCCTCGCTGAGACTGCTTTCCAAGGTGCTCGCACGGCTCACAGGTTCGATGGCAAAGGCCTCAAAGGGCGGATTCTACGCCGGTGCGTCTTCCTCGTTCAGTCCCCATCTTCATCAGTCTGAACGAGTTCGGACCGTTGCGACAGTCCGCGCAGGTCACAAGCCGGGCGTCTACGCCTCCTGGGACGAGTGCAGTGCCCAGGTCAAAGGCTTCCCGGCTGCGCGTCACAAGAAGTTCCCGACGAGGGCAGAAGCGGAGGCGTTCGTGCGAGGCGACGACCGGCCAACCAGTGCGGCAGGACCGCCGAAGGTCGGCACGTCGAATGCTCTACAGAACAAGCGGGCTGGCGGGGCAGATGGCGCAGGAGTGCCTCCGGCCAAGCGCCAGAAGCGAGCGGTTGTCGGCGAGGAGAGTGTTCAAGTTGACAAGGCTGTACCGAACGTCTTTGCCGGCTCCTCACCAAAGCGAAGGGTCTACTGCGACGGCAGTTCGCGGGGGAACGGCAAGGTGGGCGCTACAGCCGGGATTGGGGTCTTTTGGGGTCACGACGAGGGCGCAAAGTGCGTTAGTCCGCTTCGTCCCTACGTACTCTGGGCTGACCGAGCTGTCTTTCTTTGCAGAAACCTGTCGGAGCGGCTGCCGGGCAAGCTGCAGACCAACAACCGCGCCGAGATGTATGCAAGTCGACGGTTCTCTCGCACTCTTGTCGCTGGAGGCTTGCAGTGACCTTCTCGTTGTGCTCTGCATAGGCCATTGCACGGATACTGGAGACGGACCCACATCCAGATGAACCGCTCACAATCTGCAGTGACTCGGAGTATACCATCAGCGGTCCGTCTTCCCTCCCTTCCTCACCTCCCTAAACCTGCGACTAACATGCGCTCCGAGTTACAGTCTTCTCGAAATGGATTCCAAACTGGAAGCGGCGAGGCTGGAAGACTGCAGACGGCAAGACCGTCGCGAACCAGGACATGATCCGCTACGTCTTGTCGCTCCTCGCCCTTCGCGCCGCCTCGTCCAGCAGCAAGTCTCCTCTCGCCAACATCACCTTCCAGAAAGTCAAGGCGCACGTCGGGATTGAGGGCAACGAGCAAGCCGACCGATTCGCCAACAACGGCGCGATGATGCCCGAGGTGCCGGACCGCGATTTTACCGCAGCGACGAAGGAGAATGAGAAGAAGCTCAAGGCAAAGGGCGCGCCGGTGCGGGTTGAGGACGTCAAGTGGGAGATTGAGGTTGAGGAGGGTGACTTGCTGGATGAGAGTGAGTTGCGGGAACTCGAGGAGACGCAGGACTTCTGACGTGGTAACAGTTATTGACTCTCAGGCATCTGCTGCACATCCAGAGAGACCCAAGTCAAGTGAGCGGGTCGTCGAGTCGCCGTACTTCGCTTCACATCGAGGTGTCGGAAGAGCTGCTGGATGAGCCGGAGGCCTTGGTCGAAATCCCTCCGCGTATGTGTGCCGCTCTCCCGTGCGCAAGCCTTCGCTCCCTCGACCAGCAAATGAAGGCGACGTTTCTAGATACACTACGACTGTTCTGCGGGAGGCTCGAAAGCTACCTACCCCCTCTGCGGTTTCCCTTCACTCCTCGCCGTCGAGCTCCTCGTAATAGCGGAAGATGCCCAAGCTGTATTTTTGCCTCCTGTCGCTCTCGAGGTAGGCCTTGATCTTGGGAGCCTTCTTGACGCGCTCGTACAGCGCCTCGACCTTGGGGTAGTCGGGCAAGAGCTTCTTCATGCGAGCGGGGAAGGCGAACTTCAGACCATCGACGAGCTGGAAAAGCGCGAGGTCGGCGTAGGTTGGGCCGGAGGGGAGGAGGAACCCGCTCGACGACTTAGCCAGGTTCTTCTCGAAGTTGGCGAGAAATTTGGGCATGCGGTTCTTCCTCACGTCGTCCGCCTTCTGCTTCGCCGCCTCTTTCTGATCCTCGTAGTACGACATGACGCTGACGGGATGGTGCGTGTCGTGCACTTCGTTGTTGAGGTCGAGAATTGTCAAAGTGAGGGCGTTCGTATGGAAGGTGTCCGGGTTGTCGAAGCTTGCCGGCGACGACTTGGCCTTCTTCGTTGCTCGATCGTCGTCCTTCTCGCCGCCTTCGAGGTCGAGAGGAGTAGAGATGCGTGTCGCGAGGTAGAGGAGGATGTTGGCAGTCTGCGAGATGACAACGTCGCCATCCTTCAAGACGGGCACGGCGAAGGGAGTAGGGTTCGTGTCTGTCAAGAGAAGCTCTGTCAGTCAGGAGGACTCAAGGTTGCCTGAACGAAGGGAGGCGAATGCACCTGAACCTTCGAACTCGCCGCTCACATACGGCTTGATGCAGTCCTGGCCCTCCGTCAGAGCCTTGTCCTCGTAAGGTGTGCTCGTCGCCTCCAAGTACAGGCGCACGAACTGTCGCGAAGACATTGTCAGCATGCCGGTGGAGGCGCGCGAGAGAGGGTTGAGGAACGCGCACCTCTGCCCGCCCGGGGATGCCAGCGTGGTAAACAAGCTCGTATTTGCTCATGGTGGCTGTCTGCACGGTCCTGCGAGGTGTTGCTGAGGCGTAGCGAAGCGATGAGTGCCGAGGGAGAAGTGGGGCGCGGGAGACGAGCAGCCGAGGCGAGGGAGGACGAGCGAGCGAGCAGTGAGCGTGAGGACAAGCAGCGGAGTGGCTGGGAGACTCGGGCGTATATGCAAACGCGACGAAGGGAAGCGAGCGAGAGCAAAGCAAAGCAGAGGGAGGCGGACTTGTCCTCCTGGACTTGTGGACGACGCCCAACAGAGTTACAAGGACTAAGGATCATTAGACAAGAAAGCGGAAATGCCCGGAAGAGAGAGAGAGAGGTGCGTGTGTCCCAGAACTGAAGTTTACCCCGAAACGAATTGCCCTTCCCCCCAAGAGCACACTGAGCGTCTGCTTCCCTTCCGTCTATCACTCCTGCGCGTCGCCCGAGCCTTGTCTCGTCCTCCGCCTCGCCGTACCCTCACCGCCGTCCTGCAAGCTCGTCGAAGCCGCCAAGGGAGTTGTCGGCGTGACGGGGCTCATCCCCGCCAGGTTGAGCTGCGAGCGCGAACGCTGCCGGGAGACGCGGCGGTACAAGCCGGGGCGAGGTGAAGGGAGAGGAGAGTCGGGACGACCTTGCTCGCGGTTGAGGATGTGGATGACCTGCGGTAGCGAGCGGAAGTCAGTCGTCGAGTCCAATTACGAACGAAAGAAGCGTGCGCACTTCGTCGTAGTCGGGCGCATCCTCGGTCGTGTAGCCCGAGGCGTACCCGCTGCCGCCACCCTGACCATCGGTGAACCCGCCGTCCATATCGCTCTCCATCCCGCTCGTCTCGGGCAGCATGCTCTTGACCTTCCGGTCCGCCGGGTGCGCCATCGACTGGCTCCACCCCGATCCGAACAACAACTCGTCGACCCAGTTGAGCGGGTGCTGGAGGAACTTGCCCTGCGCCGACTCGCGGCGGACGCCGACGTCCGTCGAGGGAATGATGCGGCGAGAGTCGAAGTCTTCGAAGACGGTCGGCGCGAGCTCGTCGACGAGCTCGTTCAGCTCCGAGGCGAGCGTCTCGCGCATGTGTCGCAGGCGCTTCAGCTCGGGCTCCTTGCCGGGGATGAGCGAGAGGAGGAGCGGGCGCATTGACCTGCGAGCGGGCTCGTCAGCTAAACACGAGAGCCGAAAAGAAACGCTCGCACGCACTTGTAGACGTCCATGCCGACCTCGCCAAACTTGAGCGCCGCAACACCGATGACCGGCAACCCCGCAAACGTCGCAAAGGGCGCCGCAAGCTTGTACTTGTACGGCAAGCCAAGTTTGTGCGCGAGGACGACGGCGTTGATGGCGTAGATCGTGTAGAGCGATGGTGCGCCAGCGAGCGCGACGAGGACCTTCCAGGTTGCGAGGACGTCGCGGCCGGCGATCTTGACGGTCGAGGCGGCGAGAGCCTCTGCGAGCGGGAGCGGTGTCAATGGGAGACGTAGCTTGTCGAGCAAAGCGGAACGCACCCTTGGCCTTTGCCCGCGAGATGAGCTTGGCGGCGATGAAGATCGGCGCGTTAAGGACGACTCCGGGCAGCGCCAGGACGCCCCAGACGCTCAACAACCCAAGCCTGTAGCAAAGGAGGAAGAACGATCTCCACCTGGGCCTTCCCACGCTCTCAACCTGGTGATCCTTGAGGCCCATGTACCGCAACAGCGTGTTGTACTCGCGCACGCCCCGCTCGAGCTCCTTGATTCGCGGGTCGTCCTTGTACACTTCGTACCCGACGATGAAGCGCTTGTTGAGCTCGACGACTTGGCCAATCGTGAGGTTCGTGCCGGGAGGGCGGTACAGGCGGCGAGCGGCTTGGATGAGCTGCGGGAGTGTGCGGTGTTCATCTGTCCTCCACGGAGCACGTGCAGCGGATCCTTTCGAGAAATATGGAAATCGCATCCGCAAGAGTCGCAGGGCGGACTCACCATCAACGTATCGTAGTCAGGCGCGCGAACCGTGACGCTCTTGAGCCCGTCGACAATCAGCTCCATCACCTCCCCAATGGCCTTCTTCTTGTTCTCGCCGCCCTTCTCAAACTCGCTGACATATTCCTGCGGTATCTCAATCGGGCTCCCAAACTCGACGACAGCGCGCGAGCGGAACTTGTGAGGGTGGAAGTAGCTCAGTCCGACGGGGACGATCTGGAGCTTGAGGTCTAGGTGGGCCGACTTCGCGCCAAGCGCCATGATGGAGACGCCGGCTTTGAGTGGGAGGAGGTCGGTACGGTCGTGAGAGCCGCCTTCGGGGAAAATGCCGATGCAGCCGCCGTCGATGAGCTTTTGGTAGACGGCGCTGTACATGCTCGACTGGTCGACGTGCGGGAGGACCTGTACGCACGAACATGTCCGGTTAGCCTCCACCTCCTCGGCAAAATCGAGGGGACCTGCAAGCGGTATGAGCGGAGACGCACCTTGAACGCAACGCCGTCCTCCCGCTCCTTCAACGCATCAAGCGCCTTCTTCGAAAACTCCTTTTTGAGCTTCAACTCCGTATCACTGACGACCTCGATGACCTCGGCCGTGCTGCTGCCGAGGTTGCGAGGGAGGAGGAGCTGGCTTCGGGGTTTCGAGAAGTCTTTGGTGAAGTTGGTGCCGGTGCCGAGGATGGTGAGTGGGTCTGAGGGGGAGAGCGAGATGGTGCCTTGACCTGCAAAGGCGTAGTCTTGCGCGCGGGCGACGGGAACTGCACCGAAGCGAACGAAGCGTCAATCCGACAGCCCCAACATCCGCTCGAAGATGGACAAATGGACGCACTGCTTTGCATCAAGCGCGACGCCAAGCCAACGAACGCCCTGTCCATGCTCTTTGCCGCGGCCAGGAAGCTGATCCGTCGTCCGCTCTCGCGCTTGACCTCGCTCATAAGCAGGAGAGGGTCGAGGAACTGCGTGGCGCAGTGATTCTCTGTCAGCCCGACAAGCACCCAATGATCCCCAGCATTCTGCGAGCGAGAGGAACAGCGCGCACCTGGTTGTGGTGAGGCCCAACAACGAAGATGACGGCTCCCTCCGACGACCTCGGGATCTTCCACGCGCCGCGGGAGCGGATCTCGCGGAAGAAGATGGTGATGACGACTCGCCACATGTGCGCGACGACATCGTAGACGAGGTTGCTGCCGAGCGCGCCGCGAGCGTGGAGGAACATTGCGACGTATCGAATGACGAAGCGGGCGATGACGCGGAGCGGAGAGGGGACGAGGAAGCGCAGGCGGCGGAGTGCGGGCGGGACGAGGAGGAGGAAACTCTTGAGCAGCGTGCGCAGGTCCGAGTGCGTCTGCGTGAGCGACGGTCGTCGAGGGGGAGAGTCGCGGGGCGGCGGGGCGGGCGCTGGCTCTGCGGGCGTGGACGGTTGGCGGTAGGACTGCCTGCGCTGTGGTACTGGGCTGATGGTGCGAATCTGCGTCAGGTCGCTGAAGTGCGCCTGTTTCGCAAGTCGAGGAGCGGGATCGGCAGGGATGGGGGAGAGCTCTGGCACCGGCGCGCCCGGAGCCTGTGCGGGAGTTTGCGCGGATACAGGCGAGTCTTCTGGCGCAAAGGAGAGCCCCAACGCAGAGCCAGGCGGAGGGAGAGGCGGTCGCGAGTCGGGAGGAGCGGTGTCGACGTCGTTGGATGAGGAGGAGGACGAGTCGGGCGAGGCGGGCATGAGTCTGCGCCCGTGTGTAGCTCGTGGCGAGACTGCACTGCTCGCTCTCTGGCACTCTGCAACGAGCACAGTGACAAGCTCGAGCGGACGGCGACGAGCGAGAAGAGCGACCCGGCAAGAGTTCGCCGTTCTGGAAGGTCGTCGAGGGAGCACGTGAATCGTTTGGCGGTTGTTGGGGGTGCTCTAGATAGTCGACTGTATTCGCATAGTAAGGCGGCAATACTAGAGCGAGAGAACAAGGTTGCGAAAATTGACCGCGGGTTTGGCGGCAGAGATCCCTCCTTCTCTCGCTCCCTACACCTCCTGCGAGACTCCTGACAAGGTTCAGCGTCGTCTTTCGACGCTGCTTACCGCCAGAAACTCCCAGACACGTTGCAGCCGAAGAAGAGTGGGGCCGCAGACGACGGCATTCCCGCTCGCTGGCGAAGTTGCGGTCGCGCTCTTCGCTCGCTCGCTCCTTCTCCTTGCACGCTACTCACTGCACGATGCTCACACGGACAGCACTGCCACGAGGAGCCACTTTGGCGGGCACCCAGCGACGAGCCTTGTCCCGCTCAGCGCCCCGCTCGTACTCGCCCGCCAACTCGAAAACAGCCGTCGCCCTCCCTCCCACCGTCGCAAACTCGTCCCTCCTGCGCACGAGCCGAGACGACGCATTGTGGACTCCTGGACTGCTCTGGCGGGACGAGGAACATGTTGGGGTGGGCAGGTCGGAGGAGGCCAAGAGGGACAGGGAACTCAAGGAGGACGACTTGCGGCCAGAGGAGGAGGGCGGCAGGCCGACAGAGAAGATGAAGTGCGTTCGGTATGGTCCGAGTCCAGGGAACGAGCTAACCCGCCCGGTCAACAGCGTCTACCAAGCCATCCGATCCGCCCTGCAGTGCGTCGCAGGCTTTTTCGCTTGTACACCTCGCCCAACTGACTCCTTTCTTCCGCAGTACCGTCCTCACAAAGGACAGCTCCTCCCTGGTGTTTGGCGAAGACGTGAGCCCCATCGCCTGGCTCCGGCAGACCGCCTTGCTGACCTCGAACCTTCGCAGGTCTCGTTCGGCGGCGTCTTCCGCTGTACGATGGGTCTGGCAGACCAGTTTGGGCAGGAGAGGGTCTTCAACACTCCTCTGTGCGCGTGTAGGACTCGTTGAAGGCGAGCTGAGCTGACAGGGCTCGTCTTTCGCAGGACGGAGCAGGGAATCGCAGGTTTCGGAATCGGGCTGTCGACGATGGGCCACACCGCTGTGGCTGAAATGCAGTACGTACGAGTCTACGCTCGAGCCGTCCATATTCTAACGCTCGAGCTCGCAGGTTCGCCGACTACATCGTCCGTCCTGCTCGTGTATGGAAAAGGCGAAATTCAACTGACTCCGTTCTCCTGCAGTTCCCCGCCTTCGACCAGCTCGTAAATGAGTGAGTAAGCGCGCAGTCCTATGCTGAACTTCGCGCTGACGACTCAGCCTCGCAGAGCGTGAGCCTTGGTGACCTCTCATCCGCCTTCGCCGCCTGACCCTCCTTCGACACAGCGCCAAATATCGCTACCGCTCCGGCGGGATGTTCAACTGCGGATCCTTGACCATCCGCTCCCGTGCGTTCCTTCCCAACTCGCCTCGTACTCAGCTCACCTCTCTCGTGCGCAGCCTGTTCCGCCGTCGGCCACGGCGGTCTTTACCACTCCCAATCGCCCGAGGCGTTCTTCCTCCAGGCTTCGGGACTGAAGATTGTGGTCCCGAGGAGCCCGATACAGGCCAAGGGGTTGTTGCTTTGTGAGTTGCGCTTCGAGAGGGGACCTTCTCAGAGTTGAGCTGACGGACGCGGTGAACTCCTGCAGCGGCCATTCGTGATCCGAACCCTGTCGTGAGTCGACTCTGCGACAGCAAGGGCTCCGGCTTTCCCGGTCGCCTACGCTGCTCTCTTGCGAGCTTGAGTAACTCACCATCTCCCGCTTTCACTCCCACAGCTCTTCCTCGAACCCAAGATCCTCTACCGCTCCGCCGTCGAACAAGTCCCCACAACCGACTACGAGCTCCCCCTGGGCCAGGCCGAAGTCCTCCAAGAAGGCAAAGACCTAACGATCGTCTCGTACGGTCCGCCGCTTTACACGGTCGAGACGGCTCTGCACCACCTTCGTCAGCCGGACGAGGACTTGGAGAAGCTCGTGCCGAGGGATTTGAGGGGGTTGAGTGTCGAGTTGATTGATTTGAGGACGATCATGCCTTACGATGTTCGTCCCCTTTCCCTCTCTCTCCTCCTCTCATCCGCACTAACACTCCCCTGGCATTTCGACAGATCGAAACCATCGTCAAGTCAGTCAACAAGACCGGCCGCCTCATGATCGTCCACGAAGCCCCTCTCGCAGGCAGCGTCGCAAGCGAACTCGCCGCCGAAGTCCAGCAAAGGTGCTTCCTCCGCCTCGAGGCGCCTGTCAAGCGTTTGACGGGATGGGACACGCCGTTTGGGCTGGCGTATGAGAAGTTTTACCTGCCAGACCATGTCAGGATCGTGAGTCGTCTTTCGCTCCAGTCTTTCTCGCTGGAGCTTGTGCTAACTTCGCTCGCGCTTGCAGCTCGACGGCATCATCGAGACGATGCGCTACTGAGCGACTGAATTGAGCGCCTGACGTGGATGAGCAGGAAGAGCGGGAGACGAGGGCTTAGATGGTACCCTTTGCAACATTACACGACCGCAGCGCATACAGGCTCTCCGTCTCCGACAAGAAGAGCAAAACGAACTGTATAACAAGAATAAGCGAAAGTCGAAAGATGGGTGTGCTACTGCTCGTCCTTGAAGACGCGCATGCGAATCGTGATTGAGGTGGGTTTGCCGAGGCTGGCGATGGAAGTCGAGTTGCCCCAGGCGTCGAGGTCGACGGGCTGCGTGTCACGAGGCGATCAGCAGCAGGCGAGAGAAAGACGAGCACGTGAACGTACCTTGAGGATACTGTCGCCGTTCGAGCGAGCGTCGCGATCCAGCGGCCCTTCGTACACGAGCGCCCGATCCCACTTGACCCGCTTCGTCTCCTGCCGGCTCGGCGACGCACTCGCGCTACTTGAGCCCGATCCAGGCGAGCGTTTCCGTCCCACCGCCGCACTCTTCCACGCGCCTCCCGCCTTCTGCGGCGTGAAGTACTGCTCGTCGTCGCCCGCAGCTCGGAAGTGCTGCTTCGGGGGCTCGGCCTCCATCGACGATCCCGACTCCGCCTTGAGCTCCTCCGCAAGCGCAGCGAGTTCCGACCCGTCCAGACTCGACCGAAGCGCATTCCGCCTCTTCGCCGCTCGGGCTTCGCGGCCTTCCTTCGTCGTGGTGCGAGCAAGCGAGCCCTCCGAGCCGAACGCTTTCCGGATCTTGCTCGTCGGCGAAGGAGGCCGGGCGCAATCGAGGAAGACGGTCTCGAGCTTGATCCGGTTGAAGGCGACTTGGTTCTTCTTCGTGTTTCGCTGGGTGAGGCGGTTCAGCTCGTCTTGCGTGACGGCAGGTGCGGGGCGGAAGGAAGAGAGAGGGCGGGTGGTGGCGGGCTGAGCGTCTTCGACCGGGGCAGGCGGCGACACGACGGTCGGCTCCGGTTCTGCTGATGGCTCAGCCGCAGCGTTTGCAGCTTCCTCGGTAAGCAGTCGAAGGCGACTCCGCCGTGTCCGCAGAATCGGCGTCTTCGGCTGAACGAGGGCAGCGGGTTCAGTCGCAGCCTCAGGCTGGACAGGCGCAACAGTCGGTGCGATGGTCCGCCTGCTCGAGCGAAGCGTTGTCGGTAGCTCGGCAACTGCGTCAGGCGCATCTGTCGAGGGCGGGACAGTCGCTTGAACCTCCGCCAAGCGAGTCCGTCGAGTGGCTCGCATGGATGCCGGACGGGCTGAAGGCTCGAAAATGGTGGTCGGCACAGACGCCGCGAGTTTCTCAGCAGGCGCAAGAAGTGCGGTCGATGGCGTAGGAGGTGGGTTCTCGGTCGATGGTGTCGGCTGGTCAACGAGGATGCGGCGGGGACTGCGATGCGGCGAGACTGGGGCGAAGCTGGCGGCTAGTCGTCGTGGGGAGGCGCGAGCCGGAGAGGGTGATGCGGTCGGTGTGGGTGCAATGATTAGAGCGGGTACGTCGGGCTGCGTCGGCGTCGCAGGTCTGGGAGGGAAGGGGGGAGTCTCCTTGGGAGGCAACGCGGCAGGTGTCGGCGTAGGTGGCTGCAAGGAAGGCGCGTCAGCTTTTCTGGACAGCGCACGAGCTCCAGGACTACGCACCACTGCTGGCGTTCGCGGAACCTCCAGCTTGCCGTCGACAATCCTCCCTGCTCGCCGTATGGACGGAGAAGCCGCGGACGAATTGAGCAACGGCGTGGACGAGGCCTCCGCAGCCTTGCGCGCTGCAAGTGCGGCGCGAGGCGCGCGAACCGTTGTCCGAGGCGGACCCATGCTCGAGGCGGACGAGGTAGAGGGAGGGCGAGTAGCCGGCTCGCGGCTTGAGAGGACATGCGGTAACGAAGAAGTCGCTGTAAGGGCGGTAGAGCGAGACGAGCTTGTAACCGGTGGCGGTTGTGAGCGAGAGGGAGGTTGGGAACGAGCGAGGCGAGATGCGGGTGGAGCGAGAGCCGTAGGGCGCGGAACGGTGAGTGGCCGGGAGAGGGGACGAGGGGCGGTAGTCGTAGGTCGCGCAGTCGTGCCGGTTGGTGCAGTCGGTCGCTGAAGCGAAGAGCCAGAGCGGGCGGTACTCGGAAGCGCTCTCGCGCTGGACGAGCTTGTCGCGGCTGTCGCGGTCGAAGGCGCTGCAGGCCGGACAATGACTCGCGAGCGCAGCGCCGATGTGCTCGAGCTGCTTGAGAGAGTGGACGATGTCGACGACGACAGGGCAGACGAGGGACGGCGAATGTCCGCAGGCTTCGCAGGCGGGTTGGCGGGACTCGGCATCCGTCCAATGGTCGTGGCTGTACCATCTCGCTTCGGCACCGCCAAGCGAGACGTTCCGAGCAGTCGCGAACCCGTCGCGGCCGATCCGGGCACGAGCGCCGTCAACTTGGTCTTGCCTGCAAGACTCGGTACGGGACGTTGCGCGGCGGTCGATGTGAGCTTGGTGAGTTGCCGCTTTGCGGTAGGAGCGGCGGTAGAGGTGAGCTGTGCCGGTTGGCGAAGTGCCGAAGGAGGAGGGCGAGTTGGCGTCGTTGATGCGAGAGCTGGTCGTGGTGCGGCGGGCGGAGTCGCGGCCGGGAGAACGTCGTCGAGAGACGCAATGACCAGAGGAGCCGCCTCCGAGCCGGCATCAGGCTGCCCGACTGGCGGCTCAGAGAGAGTGGGCGACTCGTCCAGGCTGGCGGGCTCCGTGGCCAGATGGAGGCCGTCAAGCGCGTCGATGTCGGATGCGGGCTCCTCCAACTCGTCCAGTGAAGGCACCGGCTCGGCCAAGGAAGGAGACGGCGCCGGAGGCGCGACAGGCGCCTCTTCGGTAAGGACCTCTTGCTCGACGGACGGTGACGCGGCTTCTTCCCGAGTTAATCGCGGTTCGCCTTCATCGACCACGCCTGCTTCGACCATTGGCGGAGCCGGGGCCTCTAGCTCGACGACGGCGACCACGGGGGAGTCAGGCGTCTCCGCCAGCGAAGGCTCCTCGATGGCTTCGACGTTGGACACGGCATCTTCCTCGACCAGCGTAGGCCGCTCCGGTGTTTCGTTAACGACGTCGTCGCATGACTCAAGAGTGTCGACCGCGGCTTCAGCGTCGAGAGGTGTCGTAGCCGAATCGACCTCGACCAACTTCATCCGCTCGATCGCCTCAGCTTCGAGCGTGTTCGGCGCGGGCACGAGCTCGTCTTCCGGCCCTACCTTTATTCCTGCGGGCTCCTCGTCGTCCAGTACCGCCGCAACCTCGATCTCCTCGGCAGAGGTTGCCGAATCCGCGTCTTCGCCGTCAGACGCGGTGCCATCGTTGTCCTCGACCTCGGTAGGCGTAAGGTCAACCGACTCGTCCGTGACCTCGTCCATGTTCTCCGCGACGGGCGCGTCAAGCGTCAATCTTCCCACAGCAACGGCCATCTCCGCATCCACCTCATCCGCCTCCACCTCTCCGCCCTGCACAAGCTCGGTCGAGTCGACCGACTCAGTCGGTCCATAGGACAACGACGTATCTTCATCCGCATCCCAATACGACCCATCCGCATCGCAGTCCGTCAACTCTTCCTCCCTGTACGAGGCGTGCGTGCGGATTGCCGGTGTGGAGGGCGAGAAGTGTGCGAAGGGGGAGACAGAGAGAGTAGTTGGGACTAGGCCGAGGTGGTGGATCGGCGTTGAGGGAGTCGGGGCGGGTGAGGGCGAGGAAGAGATGGAAGGCGTGGACGAAGTCGCGAGGGGTGTTTGGGCGGCGGGTTTGCGAGGTGATGACCGGAGGCGGCGAGGAGAGGGGGAGTACCGGACGGTCTTCGGCGAGGAAGGGGCAGTCTTCACGGGCGAAGATGCCGCGGTTCCAGCAGGAGACGGCGAGTCGGGCCCCGTTCTCCTCGCGCTACGCCGCGTCGAAGGCGTCTCGTTCTCCTTTTGCTCGCTCGGCGGGTGCACCTTCTTTCGAACGGTGATGGGCGTGCCGAGCGGGATAAGAGGTGTCGAGAGCTGGGCTTTGAGGAGTGAGGGGGACTTGTCGAGGAGGGAGAGAGCAAAGGCGGAGGGTGTGCGCGGCGGGAAGAGGGTCTTATTCGCTGCGGCTGTCCATTCTCAATAGGTCAGCGAGCTTCTGCAACGAGATCGGGGCGAGACGCACGCGTTAACCCGCTTGCCGACTGAACGTCTACGAGCAGCCCTTCGTTCGCATCCCGCTCGCTCAGAACCGACTCGCGCCTGTCATCCGCGCGCCCTTTGCCCTTCCTTCGCTTGCTAGGAGATACGCTGGGCGTCCCGGACCAGTGAGAGGCGGGAATGACGATGTCGAGCGATGAGGAGGTGAGGGGGGGGTTGGCTAAGGCGAGGGCGGGGGAGAGGGCGGCCATGCGAGGGCGAGTCTCGGCGAGTTGGCCAGTGGCAGCAGCGTGGCGAGCAAAAGCGCGGTGTGGGTGATTCTCGTCGAGAGCGAGCACCTTCCTCGTCTCTCCTCCTCACAACAAAGCAAAGGGTCACGTGACCTTGTCAAATCGTGTGAACGAGTCTTGAATGCGAGTTGCAACGTAGAAGGGTATCCTTGCTAATCCATGATGCCACCGTCTGCGAGCGGAAAGCGCCAGAGTCGTCAGTGTCGAGCGGAGAAACGAGGACCGCCTCGAACGCACCATCATCCCCTCCTCCCCCTCCTCCTAGATTATCAAAGTCGTCCTCCTCTCCGTTGTCGAAGTAGTCCATCTCGTAGTCGTTGTCGCCCTCGTCGTCCTCGTCCTCCTCAATCAACTCGTCTTCGTCCGCTTCTTCGTCTTCTTCGTCCTCGCCCAGCGCGTCCTGCACAAGGGCGAGGCGAAAATCGGTCAGCGTCAGCTGTTCCGAGAAATGGGACGATAGAACTGCAGATGCAGCGGAAGCAACCGAAACGAGCGGACTCACGTCGTCTCCCTCCAAAATACCCTTTGCATCCGCCGACTTTCCCGCAGCTGTAGAAGGGATCCCAGATTAGCACACGAGGTCTCCGACTACTGAGGCCGCCACACCGCTCGCATCATATCGAGGGTCCAGCAGCGACCCGAGACGCGAAAACCGCACGCACATTTCGCCGTCTTGCCCTTCGCCTTCCGCTCAAAGACCGCCTCGAACGCCGAGGGCGGTAGCAAGTCCTTGTCGTACTGCCGTGCCGAATGGAGCGTTCGCAATGCTGCCGTTGCGGTTGCAGCGCTCGCCGTTTTGGGCTTGAAACGGTCGGACCATCGCTCGATGTCTGCGCGGCCCACAGGACGAGAATCACTCAGCACTCCCGCCCGAGTGGAAGTACTGAATGTATCTTCTGCGAACGCACCTGTGCTAGCCCGCGTAGGCGCCTCGATAAAGAACGGGGTGTACTTCATTTCGGCAAGCATGTCGTTGTACCGCTTTGCGATGCGCGCCTCGCGCTCCGTCGGGTACTCTGTATCGGGAAAGTCCTCGTAGGGCTGTTCGCGCGCATTCACATCCAGCGAGACGGCGAGCAAGTCCTCATCAGTTCAAGGTAGTCTGAGGAAATGCAGGAACGGCCACGCACCGGATAAAGGACGTCCGCGAGCTGCTTCTTCGAGTGCTCCATGATCTCGTTGAACTGGAGGTGTCCCATCGGCGGCTGAGGCTTCCCCGACGCCCCTCCTCCCCTCCCTCCTCGCCCTCCTCCTCGTCCTCCTCGTGATGCCATCAGTCGCGCCGGCGGGGTGCTGCGGTTTGCGACGGTGTTCTTTGAGGGTGTGTGTGCGCTGAGCAAGCAGTAGCAGGCAGTCCAGCAGGTGAGCGCGGTGTGGGAACAGCTCGAGCTTGTTGCGGGCGGTGTACTGATCAAGTAGGACCTCGGAGACTACGGTCAGAGCCTACGACGACGTCGTTGCAGTCGTGTACACTGGGAATGGCAGCTAGGCTGATCCCCGCCGCTCTCCACCACACTTTACTCGTCTTCCGTCCTCGCCCGCAGTCGTGAATTCATGGGTGGAGACGTCGAAGGGTGGGCTTTGCTTCGGGGTGGCTGGGTCCCGTGCTCGAGTGGCTGTGGGCGTCAATTAAGCGTGTCTCGTGCGAGAGCGAGCCGACTTGCGAGTCGTCCCGAGCAGGAGTGGCCTTCCTCGCTCTTCGCCTTCCCCACCCATCGACCGTCCCGCAACCTTGCGCTCGCTCTCTCTCTTACAGCTTGCTCTTCACTTGCACACACTGCTACACACCCTCGCACAGCACTCGCACTCAGCCCATACCGGTCCAGCCTTCGCAGCCCTCTCTCTTCGTGCGTTCCCATTCCCGGCTGTTCACTCTCGCACCGTCATTTCCCGTCTAGCTGACAGCTGCCACGTCTCCGACAGTCACAATGAGCAACCCCCAGATCCCCAAGGAAGGCGTTGCCGTCGTCTTCGACAAATGCAACGGACCGATTCGCGTCGACAAGCACCACCATGTTGTGCAACCTGCCGAACTCAAGCCGGGCGAGGTTTTGGTCAGGGTTGAGTACACCGGAGTGTGCCGTGAGTACGCGCCGAAGCGGAGACGAGAGGAAGAAGGCTGACAGATCGCCTCGTTTTGCGCGCAGACACCGACCTTCACGCCTGGTGCGCTCCCTCTCACTTTCTTGAGCGAGTACCTTGACTGAACCGCACTATACTCGTGTAGGAAGGGCGACTGGCCTGCTGCGCCCAAGACTCCCCTCGTCGGCGGACACGAAGGAGCAGGCCATGTTGTCGCGATTGCCGAGGGCACAACGACGACGCTCAAAGTCGGCGACGCAGTCGGCATCAAGGTGCGATCCTTCTCCATTCACGACACATCCTCTCTGACGCTTCGCCTGCTCGCAGTGGCTCGCCGACTCGTGCCTCAACTGCGAAAACTGCCGCCTCGGGTCCGAAGCGACGTGCGACCTCGCCCAATGCTCAGGCTACACCGTCGACGGCTCGTTCCAACAATACGCCGTCTCGTTCGCTCGTCACCTCACGCCCATCCCGGACGGTCTTCCGCTTGAGGTTGCGGCTCCGATTCTTTGCGCGGGCGTGACGGTCTGGAAGGCCTTGAAGGAGGTGAGCCGGCCCGTGAGCCTGTTCGAATGCTTGCTGATGTCCCTCGTTGTCGCAGGCGAATGCCAAGCCGGGCGACTGGGTTGTCGTCTCCGGCGCAGGCGGTGGACTCGGCCACCTCGCTGTGCAATACGCCGCAGCAGTTGGCTACCGCGTCGTCGGCATCGACACTGGCGACGACAAGCGCAAGCTGCTCGCTTCGTACGGGGCCGACACGTTCATCGACTTCAAGCAATTTGGCGGAGAGGGGAAGCTGATTGAGGAGGTTAAGCGCGTGTGCGATGGCAAGGGTCCGCATGTGCGTGGTTTCGCTTCCCTCACCTTCGCACTCATAGCTGATGGACTCGTCCACAGGCCGCCATCATCACCTCCGCCGGCGGTGCAGCCTACAACGACGCCCTCGAATACCTCCGTCCTCACGGCACGCTCGTCGCAGTTGGCCTCCCTCCCGACACCTACATCAAAGCCAACGTCTTTTGGACCGTCTTCAAGAGCCTGCGCGTCGTCGGCTCGTACGTCGGGAACCGCCAGGACGCGATCGAGGCGCTCGACTTCGCGGCGAGGGGGAAGGTCAAGCCGCAGATTGTGGTTGAGCCGCTTGAGAACCTCGAGAAGGGTGCGTTGTACTTTTCCTTTTGGTCCGAACACCGCCTGTTCGCAGCGCACTTCGACCCTTTCACCCTCTTCTCACTCCCCCTTGCCTTCTCCGGCGACCTCAATCCTCGAGTCCCGCCAGATTTCGCCCGAACCTTGAATTGCTGACGCCTGCGGTCCACACAGTCTACCACCGCATGGAGCAAGGCGCCGTCCCCGGCCGCATCGTCCTCAAGAATTTCTAATCGTCCCTCCTCGCTTTCGTCTCTGCTTCGTCTGTCCCGGTCTGCCGCTGCCGCTTTGCCAGCTTACGAGTAGTATCAATGGAATCACACGAGTGTCTGTGCACCGCAGACGAAGGCATGAGGGTCGATGAAAGGGCTGGCCTTCCCAACTTGCCCGCCAACTACGTTCCGCTTCCACCCTGATTCCTCGCCGTCTGCTTGCCGCTTAACTCCATTCGCGAACGATTAGTGTTCAACTCGCTGATCTCGCAGCGTCCGCCTTTTCCGCGCGCCATCTCCCTTGGCGTCGCTTTCGCTGCTGCGACGCGAAGCTCGCGCTTCCTCCTCGTCGTTTCCCTCGAAACCGCTCGCACTCCCTCAGGATGGCACGCACAAAGGTGCGCAATCTCGTTTCCAGCGGGCCGAGCCGCATCGACTGACCGCAGCGCCCCGCCCAGCAAACCGCTCGCAAGTCGACGGGCGGTCGTCCTCCCCGTCTCAACGGGGCGGCTCGAACAGGTGTGTCAAGTCGGCATGCTTCCATGCCCACGGGCTGACAGAGTTGACCGCTTATTCGTGCAGTGGCTGACAGTAGCCCGCCCACTTCTTCCGACGAGGACGGGGAGTAACGCATGCTGAGGAAGCAGTGGTATGCCAGACGAGCTTCGACACGAAACCTTTACAGATTGCGGACCATTGACTGACGTCCGCGATTGTCAGCCGTTGCGACTGCGGCGGCGACCCGTTTAACGTGCTCCCGTACTTTGAGACGGTGGGTTTCTCCCTTCTACTGCCAGTACTTGGACTGATTGACACAGTCTCATTGTTCACCATACTCAGCGCGACTGCGAATGCCAGATCTGCCACGACAATACGCCGCCTCACAAGAGGCGATACGATTATTACGACCCGTCGCCGCCACCACCGTACGTCCTGACACCTTTGGGCACCTTCGCTGATTGCGCCGGCCTCGGGACTTCACTGAGGCCGAATTCTAGCTTTCCCTGCGCTCTCCCGCATGACCGCTTCGCAATATGCCGCGCAGACCTGTCCTCTGCAAAGGTCAGTGCAGCTGTCCCGACTGTCCAACGGCGAAGAAGGCAGCCAGAAGAGCGGCCAAGAAGGCGAAGATGACGCACGACCACGAAGCGAAGCAAGACCAGGCGAAAGAGGAGGAGAAGAAGGAGGCGGCGGCGAGGCAGGCAGAGGAGCAGAAGAAGGAAGCGGCGGCTGCTTCCAGCGATGTAGAGATCCTCTCGTGAGCGAGACTCCATGATTGCTGTAACGACGATGTATGCTAACGCAAGCTCTACCCTTGACGCGATGTCGTCGAGGAGGCGGTCAGACCCACGCCTCCCTTTCCCAAGCGTATCCCGCTCTCCCTGCCCGTCCCGCCTTGCAATGCACGCCTGCGCTGCTTCACAAGCCCGTCCAGGCCATTCCGTCTGTCCCGCCCGCTCCCGGCTGTCCTCCCGCCGCGCCCGCTCCGACTCCACCGAAAAGCGCAGGTCCCGCCGGGAATCCTGCGCCGCTCAGTCCACCGAATCCCGCAAGTCCCCAGTTCGAGCCACCGTAATAGTACCCCGCGCCCCACTCGTCGAGCGTCGACAGGCCGAGTCCACCGAGTGACGAAGCCGCAAGGTCGAAGGAGAAGTCGCCTGGGACGAGTTCGGGCGCGAGAGTCGCGAAAGAGAGGTCGTGCGTCGAGGTAGGCGGGTGAGGCATCGGAAACGGCGGGTGGAAGAGCGAGTAGGCTGCTGCAGCCGACGGGTCAAGGGCGGCAGAGGTGGCGACTGGATCTCCTTCGGCTCCTGCGCTGCCGAGAGGCGAGTTGACGAGGTCGTTGATCGTCTGCGAGAACGACCTGGAGCGCTCGCTCGACGGCGCCGCCGCGTCTTCCTGCTTCCTCGACTTGCGCGACTGGCCCTTCGGCTTGCTCGCCTGGCCGTTCCCGTTCGCCGCCGAAAGCTGCGCTGCACCATTACCATTCGCACTGTTCGCAGCAGCAGCTCCGCGGTTCGGGGAGTCGTTGTCCGCGTCGTCCTTGGCGCTGCGGAGAAGCTGGAGGACGCCGGCGCGGACCTTGAGCGGGTCGGCGTCGAGGACGCCGCGTGCGAGGTTGAAGTACAGGAGCTGGAGACCGGCGAGCGAGTCGTACCAGCGAGTTGCGATCGGGTCTGTCCGGGAACGATGTCAGCGAGTGAGCGGGCGAGAGAAACGAGGGAAGGGAATGTGCGAACGCACAGATGTTGCGCAAGCCAGCAAGGATCTCGGCGTCCTGATTGAGGTAGTGCGTCGCATCGACAGGCGCCGAGCTCGACTGCGGCCAGTACTTGAGGTGACTATGCACGGTCCCCGCCGCGACCGCCGCGAATCCAGCGAACGGGTGTGTGAGGATGATCCCGTGCGACGAGAGGTGCGAGCAGACGTCCGAAATGGTGTTTGCGGAGGTTGCGGCCATGTCGAACGATTCTTGCCACCACCCTGCGGGCGCGGTCGAGTCGCCGTAGAGAGGCTCGCCGTCGATCGGACCATTGGCCGCCTTGAAATCGAGCGGCGGGAGGAAGGGGAGGTAGTCGCGGTGCAGCTGCGGAAATAAGTCAGTAAGTCGGCGAGTCGAACGCGAGAGGCGAAACGACCTCCACGCACAACATGCCTCGCCATCGCGTTCGTCAAGTGCAGCAACGCAAACAACTTGGCGTCCTCCCTGACCATACAATGCGCGACAAGCGTCCTCTGCGAATACTTGAGCTCCTCGGGCAGCCTCTGCTCAAACTCGGTCAACTCCTTGGCGAGCTGCGCGAAAGTCGAGTCGTCCTGCCACGGCGGTCGACGGTCGACGTTCCTCCCGCCCGAGCCGATGTACGACGCGACTTTCGACCAGATCTCGGCGATCCTGAGCGTGAAGCCGTACAAGTCGGCTTCGGGCTCGTCGCTTGGGGGCGCGTGTCCCGATGAACCATCCGCACTCGCGCCATTTGCGCCGCCGCCCGCTCCACCCTGCACCGACACGCTCCAAGGCGGTGGATTCGGATCAAACCTCGCGCCGAGGCTCTTTCGTCCCGCGAGGAAATCCGCATCCGACCCAGGCATCCGCAGACTCGCAATCCGAGGCACCTTCAACCCGCATGGCCGCTCATTCCCATCGCTCACGGTCCTGTCGAGCGAGAAGAGCGCCCAGAACGTCCTCCGCCTCGTCTCTGCGCGGATCGGGTCCTGCTGAGCCGCTGCGATCGCCCTCCCGCGACTCGAGAGCGGGTTCTCAGGGTCGTCATAGACGGGTACTTCGTCGTCGAAGCCGAGCCGGAGGGTTTGAGCCATCCGAATGGCCGTGCCGATCTTGAGCCAGCCGGAGTTGTCGCGTCCGGCGGTGAGCTCGTAGAAACCGAGGAGGAGGTGGCATTGGCACCGCATGAGGGAGATGGGGACGTCGGCGGTCGGTGGAGGAGGGTTGGCGTGGCCTGGCAGAGGCTGATGGACGGAGAGAAGATGCGAGGCGAGTTGGGCGTAGTGTTCGGATGCGGCGGAGGGCGAGGAGGGGTGCAGGTCGCGCAGGGATTGGCAGAAGCGTGCGGCGAGGGCGAGAATGCAGCAGACTAGCTCTTTCGATGCGCGGTTCTCGCTGATCTCGGTCGTCAGGCTCGGGCGGTGGATGAAAGGGAAGGTGTCGTAGCTGGGGAGTCGACAGTCGTCAGTTCTGCTTCACTCAGCTTGGGTCGAACTCGGCGCACTGGTGGATGAGGAACGAGTCGAGCGCCTCGAGAATGATGTTGGTCGGCGGGAGCTCCGTGTCGAGAGCGGGAGAGTACATCGGCGCGAGGGGAGCGAAGCCAGACGGACCGGCGACCCTGCATGCACAAATTGTGTCAACCCAGCTGCTGAACTGTGCAGACGAGTATGGAAACGCACATCGGTCCGCCGTTCTCCGCTGGATGCCCCTCGTAGACGCATTCGAGCTTGCGGTTCGTGCAGAACCGGCAGATGGGCCACTCTGCCGAGCAGCGCACCTTGCGTTTCCTGTCAGCACGAAGATGAAGCGTCAGCTCCGCCTCTCGCGCCAGCGCACGAAGATCGAGCGACACTGTCCTCGAAACGCACCTGCACGTCTTGCACGCGATGCTCGCCCTCGCGCCAACCTTGACCTTCTTCTTCTGCTTCTCTCCGACGCCTCCATTCGACTGCGCGCCGCTCCCGCTGCCGCTCGCCTCTGCGCCGACGTCGGGCCCTCCTCCGCCTCCTCCCTGGTCGGACAATGCGGGTGCCCCAGATGCGATAGGGTCGCCCGCCTGAGCCATCTTGCGCGCGGTGGGACGGGTAGGCGGGTCACTGTGAGTGTCTGCGCGGTGTGCAGCTGGCGGAGGACGCGCCGGAGAGGGAGTGCGCGAGTGTTTTCGTGGATTGCTGATGAAGTCGCGGGGTGGGGTCGAGCGGGAGATGTAGATGGTCCAGCCGGTCGGCAGTTGCGCTGGCGTGGTCTGCAGCTCGAGCAGGGAGGCTCTGTCGAGCTGAGTGTGTGTCTCGTTGGCAGTGGGAGACTTTTGCTGGTTCGGCAAAGTCAGGGAAGGTGCGGGGGTCAGCTGAGTGGGACCTTGGCCAGCGGACCGCGAGGTGCAAAGCCGGACAATGTGGGTCGTGGAAGTAGTCTGTGTAGCGTACGAAGCGACAGGTCGAACGGAAAGAAGCGTCGAGGAGGAGGACAACAACTTGGCTTCCTCTCGCTCGAGTCGTGCGGCGATGGGCTGGCTGTGACGAAGACGTACTGAAAGCGCGTAGGAACTCGCTTTGTCGCTGTCCTCGCGAGGAAGAGAATGTCGCTCCGACAGGGGCTCGTCCAACCTCCGCACACTCTGGTTGCGCTCCTCTCGCTCGCCGACAACGACCAGCATGCACGCCGTAAGCTGCAGAGCCTTCCATGTACTGCGACAGAGCGTCCGAGCTGACCCACGTTGCTCCTCGCTCCTTCCGCCCTCTTGCTCACCCTGCTCTCTACTCGCCATCGACTTCGCCTCGCCTGCCTCGCGACTCGCTCGAATGGGCGCCTGCTTCGTCGCACAACGACGATACACCACCTTCGATCATGGCTGCGCAACCCGCAACCCGCTCGTGACCCGCGTCTCCCGGCCTCCTCCTCTTCCTCCTCCTCACCCTCCACTTCCACACGACCCCTTCCCTCCGACGCAGACCGCCGACTTCTGCCTGGTCCCGATGGGCACAGCCGACCCGTCGGTCAGCAAGTACATCGCGGAATGCCAGCGGGTGTTGCAGAAGAGCGGGTTGAAGTTTGAGGTCAGTTCGCAAAGAGGGATTCCTTCGCTTCCTTGGCGGATGACGAGAATCTGCGCTGACGAATACAATCTCTCCGATGTGGACTCGCAGCTTCACGGCTGTACGCTCTCATCTCCCCTTGAGCCGTCTCCTTGGATTCACGCTAATTCTCCTCGAACCGTCCGCAGACGGCACCGGCGTCGAAGGCGAGTACAGCGCCGTCATGAAGGTCATCGAGGAGTGTCACGAGGCCGTGCATGCGATGGGATGCGTGCGTCTTAAGCCTGGCTTGTTTCGAACGCTGGAAGGTCCTGATCGTCCTGCTTTCGTTTTCGCCGGCGTCAACGAGCGTGCAGCCTCGCGTTGCTACAGGTGTGCCAGTTTTTTTACATTCGCGTATACGCTCCCCACCGCACGTACTGGGACAAGTCGCTCAAAGTAGTACCTCACACAGACATCCGCATCGGCACCCGAGTGGACAAGCAAGGCTCGCTCCAAGCCAAGATCGACAGCGTCAAGGAGCTTCTCTCGTGCGTTCGCCTGAATCTCGCAGGCTTACGATCGCTGACTCGCGCGCTCGCGTTAATCGGGTACCCGCTGCGCACAGGAAGGACCAGTCCACCGGCACAAAGCAATAGCCGTCTCTTTCCCTTCTGCCTCGACTTTGCTCCTCTAGAACTGCGAATGGGAGCAAGGAAACAGGCGGACGTTGAGCGGGACGGAGCAGTATCTCGTGTACGTCCGTCGCTCGTCATTCGCGTCTCACGCTGCAGTATCGGTTGCTGACGAGATTCTTGATGCATGGCTCGAGTACAGCTATCTCCCAGTGGACCTTCCGGTGGGATGCGATACCTATGTCCTCTCGTCTCGACGCTGTTCATCAATTTGTCGTCGCCTTCCGTTTCTCGCAACGATACCACCTCTGCCGCGTTCCATTGTACATACCGCACCGCAATCGAACATTCGTACTAGCACTACGTCGAGCCATCGGAGCGACAGGACGTCCTTTCTCCTCCTCGCTGGCCGAAATCGAAGCAAGCCCGCTCTCGCTTCTGCAGGGCACCCGCCTGCTCACGCTGACAAAAAAACTCGAGAAGTCGATGGAGAGAGTCTGTAGATGATCTTGCAAAGCGAGAAGACGTGTAATTGAGACGAGCGAGCGAGCGAGAGGAGAGACAGAGGGAGAGGAAAGGGGTATACTGGAAGCGACGAGTACGGAAGGCGAGTGAGTGAGAGTGGAAACAAGAGCACCAGGCGATTGTGGAAAGGGAGGAGAGAGGGAGGAGATAAGGCGGAGATTACAGCTAGAACGGGGCGATGAGGCGAGGGGGGGTATCGTGCGCGAGCGATAAGTCGTTCGTGATAGGCCCGGCGTCGGACCGAGTCGAGACGCCGCTCAGCCACATCGGCAGGTGAGGAAGCGGATGAGGTTGAACCCTCCGCGCCCACTGCTCCGGTGGTGCTCCTCGTCCTGGTGCCGGTAGTCGCCCGCCATCTGACCCGTTCCCTGCCCGCCCTGCGCTCCAAGCCCGTTCCTCGCGTACCCGTTCGCTCCACCAGCCTGCGCGCCCGACCCGCCAGCCGCGTAATCCGAGTCACCCGCCGCGCGATCTCCATACGCTCCTGCTCCGCCAGCAGTCGCATAAGGGTGCCCGCTACTCGTTCGCTGTGCCGCCTTGCCTCCAAGTGCCGCCGCATTAGGCGACTGGACCCCCTTGACAGCCATCGCGCTCGCTCCAGGCGCAGGCGTCGCACTCGCACTCGGTTGCCGCCCGACCTTCGCTTCCCGCGCCGCCTGAGTGGGAGTCTGCGCGCCTGACCCGCCGTTTGCGCCGCCTGATGCGGCGGCTGCGGCAGCGGCAGCGGCGGCCGCGCGCTGGGCGTGTCGCTCGGCTCGCTCACGCTCGCGGTCCCGATCGCGCTCGCCTCGGCCCGTGCGGTGGTGGCGAGAGTCGTAGCCAGACGAGAGCATCGCCGTGGACTGTGCACGACGTCACCGCGAAGTAGTCAGCGAGAAGCTCGGACAGAGCGCGCAGACGAGCGAGGGAGAGACCGCCAACGCACTCCTGCCTCCCATCCCTTCCCGTTGTTCAACAACATCCAGTCGTACACGCCGTCGTCCGACTCGCCCATGTTCTTGAGCACCTTGGAGAACAGCTCGCGGAGGAAGTCGTAGTCGGGCGTCTCCTCGAACCCGAGCTTGCGGACGTAGTTGAGGTAGATGGCGAATTCGTCTGCGTGCCGACGAATCTCAAGTCAGCTTGGCTCTCTGCGAACGAAGAGCTAGTCGAGCGCAAGAGGACACGCGCGAAACGCACCAGGGAACCCCTCCGCCAACTCCTTGATCGGCGTGCTCTGCTTCTTCTCGCCGATCTTTTCGTACTTCTGTTTGTTGGTCGCGGCCTTGAGACCCTGCCATGGCAGGCCGCCGCGGAGGAAGTACATGAAGACGTGGCCGAGCGCTTCGAGGTCGTCTCGTCGCGATTGCTCTGTGCCCGGAAGGCCCTGATGATCAGCTCTTCTCGCCCGGACAGAATCGAGTAGGCGCTGAAAGAGGACATCGCAAACGCACCTCGTCCCAAATGCGTGTTGATCGACATGTACCTCGCCGTCCCCGACAGACTCTTCCTCTCGCGATACGGAATGTGCTGCTTCGTCTTCGGGTCGCGGTACTGCTTGGCCATGCCGAAGTCGACGACGTGTACGAGGTTGGCGTTTTTGGTGCCGGGGCGGCCGATGAGGAAGTTGTCGGGCTTGATGTCGCGGTAGATCAGGTTCTTTTCGTGGATCGTCTGGACGCGCGAGAGCTGTGCGGAGCGTGGGATCACCCGAAGAGTCAGCTCGCAGTCTCGAAAGAAGCGCGCTGAGCCATCACCGCTTTTCTCGCACACTCCGCCCCTTCACGCCTAGATTCGGCGCAACTCACCATCTGCTTGGCCGTCATGCAAACCGTCTTGATCGAGAACTTCCTCCCGCACATATCGAACAAGTCCTCGAGACTCGGTCCAAGCAAGTCGATCACAAGGACGTTGTGCAGGCCTTCCTGGCCAAAGTAATACACTTGCGGGATTCCGACTGCGTGCACGCGCGGGTCAGCGAGAAGAGAGGGGCAGGTAGGGGAGGCGGACGAACCGGAACCGGCGAGGATCTTGTAGGTCCGGTACTCGTCGCGCAATTGAGGCGCATCGCTCTTTCGCGGTTCCTGCACGACCATCCAGCGGAGTTAACGACACTGGAAACACCACAGCGTCCGTCGACTGCAGCGAACTGCTGTCTCCTGAACGCATGCGAGATCGAACGACGCCAAGCCGGCCGGTGGGTGAGGGAGTAGGACGAGGGGAGGAAGGGAGGGAGGAAGAGCGTTCGACACGCACAAACTTGATGGCGACCGTCTGCGAGTTCAGCAAGTTGGTTCCTGCGGATACAGAGAGTACCAGGTGAGCGTTCGCTCCGCCAACGTCCGTCCCTTGGAGCGGCTCTTCGCACAAAGGCCCGTCCCTCCCCTCGCACTCCGCCTGCGAGCCCGCTGCGAGGAGCCCGAAAGGACGCGCGGACTGACCCTCAAAGATGACACCAAACGACCCCTCGCCGATCTTCCTCCCAACCCGAAAGTGCACGCCAATCACGTTTGACGAGCTGCTGCCCGAGTGGGAACTCGAGTGGTGCGCTGCGGTCGCTGACATCCTCGGCGTGGTTATTGGTGCGAAAATGGCAGGAGAGGGGAGAGGAGGGACGGGTTCGAGCGGTGAGGGGGGGTCGAGGAGGATGAGCGGGTGACGGGGTCCGAGGGGGTCGCTCGAGGACGGGATCGGGTGTGGGTGGATCGTGTAGCGGGTCCCTAGGCTGCTCTGTGCAACACTATTGCGCTTCGATGGGCTGTGTGCGGTGTGGGTGTGCTTGTTGCTGGCGAGGACGAGGGTTCACCGACCCGGACGAACGGCGGGCTTGGTCGAGCGTGCGCTGGTTCGAGTGTGTCGTGCAAGCGTGTGTGCTGTTCTAGCGAGTCTCGGCAGGCAGTCCAAGCGTGTGCGAGAGGGTGAGCGAGCGTGTCGACGAGCGTGTACACCAGGGCCCCTCGTCTCGAGCGGAGCCACACCCTCGACAGTCGTCCAATCCTCCCAGGATCAGCTTGGGAGACGGCGCAGTGTTACACGTATGCACAGACTGACGGGGGAAAATAAACAGCGCGAGTAGAAGAAGGGTCTGTTCGTCGAGAGCGTCCATTCATTCAAGCATCCTCCTCGCTTCACGCAGGCCGCACCGTCCCAACCCTGAACCTCCTCGCCGCATCAAACACCTGTCCAACCTCCTCAACCTGCTGTTCCGCCGCGCGCTCAACCAGCTTCCTCAGCGCATGCCTCGTTGCCAGTCGGACCGCGCGTTCTTCGTCTTCTCGCGATGAGAAGGGTGATGTGGCGCGCCGAGAGAGGCCGCTCCCGTTTAGCAGGGACGAGAGCGAGCCGCCGAGGAAGCCGGAGATGTCGGATTCGTTCAACGGGCAGTCGAACGAGGCCGACGACGAGAAGCTGCGCGTCCAACAACATGCCGAGTCAGCTCGGCACTCCTGAAGAGTACTTCGAAGCCAACGAGCAGGTCGGGCGACGCACCTCGGCAAGATCGTGACAGCAATGACCTTGACGCGCGTCTTGACCTTGTAATTGACCGTAAGCTGCGACGCCTGCGTCCCAAGGAACCCACACTTGTTCGCAATGTCCTTGAGGACGCTCAAGTCCGAGTCGTACGAGGTCGTGTAGTTGATCGAGAAGGGGAAGTGGACGGTTGAACTGGGTGCGCGGTGTCAGCGAGGATAGAGGGAAAGGGAGGGGATGGGACGAACTTCGAGTTCTTCTTAATCTGCACATTCGTGAGTGAGCCGCCACCGATGGCGGAGGTGGGCTTCGTAGGATAGTACGCCGTCGCATCGATCCTGTTGAAGTCGGCGCCGAAGACTGCGGGCAGGCGGACAAGGTCAGCCCTGGTCGATGAATCTACCGACAAGCGAAGCGCACAGTTCGGATTGATGACGTTGATCTGCGCGCATACAACTTGTCAGCTCGCGTCGAGACGCCGAGAGAGAAGACGGAACGCACCTTGAGACGGAAGTTGAGGTTGAACCCGCCGCTCGCGACCGAGACTTCACTGCCTGACGACGGGCCTTCGATGCCCTGGAAGTTGACGTCGGGCGGTCGGACCCAGACTGTGCGTCAAGGTAAACCTCCTGCGTCAGCGCTCGCTCGAAAGCGCCAGCAAGGGCCGTCAAAAGAGAGACGGGGAACGCACGGAAGAACGCCGCGACGATTCCGACCAAGATCAAGATGATGAGGATGAGGGAGCAGCACAGGACTCGTCCGCAACACCGCGCGCGTCCGCCTCGAGTCAATGCGCCGGCGTGCTCGTCCTTGCGGAACATCCGCAGGCCCTCTTTCTTCGGGATTTGGCCTTCGGCGGCGAGCTGTACACCGACAGGACATTGGGAAGGGATCTCTTCCGTCAGCAGATAGACAGGGAGTCTCAGGATGAGCTGCCGAACGCACCTGGGCTGCGATACTCCCCCGGGTCACAGGCGCCGCCTTTTCGTACGCTGCTGCGCCATACTTGTCCTCCCACTCTCCATCTCCCGCCTGTTGCGGGGGATACGTCTGCCGTCCACCCGGTACGCCCCCTCCGTCGCGCTCAGGGGAGATGTAGTCGTTGCTGCTGTAGGGAGGGTACTCGGCGGCGGGAGAGGGAGGTTGGGCGTACGGCTGCTGCGAGTAGAGGTTCTGCGGGGGGTAGTGGCCGTTCGCGTAGGGGTCGTGCGCGTATGGGTAGGACATTGCGCGCCCTCGTGAGCGTGAGCGAGGTTGTGAGGACGAGGGGCGGTGCTCTCGATGGGCGAGTTGAGCGAGGAGGGGACAAAGGCGGGTCGCGCGAGTTGGGCAGTCGGAGTGTGCGTCTGCCTGTAACACTGAAGCACCGAGTCCAGCAGCACCAGCAGCGCAACAAGCGAGCGAGATGAGGGTGGTCGCGAGAGGAGGGTCGCTCGCGTCGACTCCGCGCAGCACCAGCTGTAAATCGCACAGCAAGCTGGCAGTTCTAACGAGCACGTAGCAAGCTAGTGTGTGGTACTCTGAGTGCACGGGAGGGCGTTGCCATTGAGCTGAAAGTCGACCTCGTCCCTCTCGCCTCGACCACGCTCACGCTCGCTCGTCTCCCGCTCCTGGACTGCGCTTGACTGCCTGAGCTTCAAACGGAAGGCCGGCTGTGATTTTCTAGGCTCCGCGCGACCCGCCAGGTGAACTGGGCGGTCCTCTTCGTCTCGCACTCAGCCTGTCTCCATCGCCCGGCTTGTTCGCAGTCAGGACTTGCCAGGGGGGTGATGTCAAGACCGACGTGATGCGCAGAGGAGAATCTGACCCTTGCAAGCCCGCAGAACCCGCAGTACAGCGCTCTCCCCCCCCCCCTTCAACCTCTCCCCTCCCTCTGCCCTTCCCTCGACCCGCCCATCATGCGACCAACACTGCTACGAGCGCACCAACGCGCGCACCAAAAGACCACCTTCTCGGTCGAGAACGTCCTCAACATCTTCAACAAGAACGCGCGGGCAGGGTCGGCGGAGCTCAACCCGCTCGACTGGGACCACCCGATCCACAAGCAACCGTACGACTTTGGAGACTTTACGACCCCGACTATCATGAAGATGGAGAAGCAGAGGGAGTTGTTGCACTACTTGCGGCTGGAGCAGCACCAGTTCAAGGACTTGGGTGCGTAGCGGGGCACTCGCTTCGAGTCCTGAGACTTTCGTCCCTTGCTGACTTGATTGCCCGGTATCTTCGGCTTGCACAGTCGCCTACCGGAAGAAGTTCGTCCCGCCCTCGAAGGAGCAGTTCATCGCAGTCCGGCATCAGCACTACCAAGGCGAGGAGCACCCCTGCTCGCGTCGCATCTCCATCCGCGTCCCCGTCTCCGCCCTCCCCCTCTCCTCACCCGAAGCGCTCCACAAATTCAAGCTCCTCGCAGGCGCGAGGTGGCACCCTCCCTTGCCTCCTTCGCTCAAGCACCCGATCGAGAACAAGAGTTGGAAGGTTCACCAGGGAGAGAAGGACGAGGGAGTCTTTGAGATGTCGTGCGATGTGTTCCCGTACGACCGGATGAACGAGAAGTGGTGCTCCGACACGCTCGAGAAGTTGCTCAACGAGGCCAATGTGCGTTCCCCTCTGTCTCTCTTCCCCTCTGCTCCGATCGGCATTAACCCGTTTCGCGTCCCACCCGCAGGACCTCAAGAAGGAGACCTTCGCCGACATCCCCATCGACACTCGGTACCGTCGCAAGCGCCTGATGAAGAACGGCAAGCTCCGCCGCAACATCACCCTCGCCAACTACCCGCAAGAGTGGCTGCCCGCACAGGCTCAGCAGCAGCAGCAGGCGCAGGTTGAGGCGCCCGCGCAGGAGAAGGCGCAGGCATAGTACCTTGTATCGGGCAGGTTTAGATGACTCGACCTTTTGTAATCCTCTCGTTCGCATCGCACACAGTTGAGCGAGAGACAATGCGATTGCTGGTGGATGCTATATAGACGGACCAGCCCGAACCGGGGAGGATAAGAACGAGAGGGGAGGAAGAGAGGGGAAAATCTACGCCATACAACTTCCAACTTCGGGGTACTGCAACGGAAGCCTCATCTGCATGCTAACCAAACTGAAGAACAGCGGTCCTCGTCGTTCCCACTCCTCGCCGTCCTTGAAGAGGAACGCCTCGCGCACTTTGACGAGGTTGGCCTGCAGCTCGGAGAGTTGCTCGGCGGTGAAGGCTGAAAGAATCTCCTCGATCCGGTGCGCGTCGGCTTCGGGGATCGTGACGGAGAAGCGAGAGTAGTCGAGAATGTCCTGGAAGGGGAAGAGATTCCGGTCGACGATGAAGGCGGGGATGCAGCCCGCGTAGATCGCCTCGAACGTCCGTGTTGTCCTGCGCACGCCGCGAAAGGTCAGCCAATCGGAGCTTCGAGCAACGAGAACACGCGTACGCACCAAGCGGGAATGCCGCGAGGCAAGAGGCAGAACTTGCTCGCGTTGAGCGTGCCGAGGTACCGCTGGCCCGGCGAGAACTGCTGGTACAAGATGGCGCTGTTCGGGTCCTGCCCTGTCCGTCCGCACCCAATCTTGGTCCGCGCAATCGCGCCAAACCCTCGTACGCCGCCGGCGAAGAAGGCGAGGTGTTTCCGCGAGTTGACGGGTGCGACGTCCGCAGGCGTCTTGAACGTCTCGAACAGCGCTTTGGTGTGCTTCGTCACGGCGGGAACGACGACGTCGCGGTCGACCTTGACGCAGCGCGTGTTGTAGTCGCCGTTGACCTGCCACGCGACGGCCTGGTCCATCGGCGAAGGAGGCGAGTGGCCGAGGACGTCCTCGAGCTTTTGCCACCAGCCCGTGCACGAGCCAAAGTCGTGTGTGAAGGGGATGACGATGCGATCGCCGGTGATGGCCGGGTTGGTCGCGATGGCTGTCTCGGCGAAGCCGACCGTGTCGGCGAGCTTCTTGAAGGTGTTCTCCTGCAGGTAGTTGTAGTAGCAGCCCTGTGAGGCCGGTTGTGTCAGCTCACAGCTTGCAGAGAGACGAGAGACGAGAGACACCGTCGCACCTGATAGTACGGCACGAGGACGAACGACGCCTCGTCGAGCGTGACCGAGCGGTTCTTCATCGCCTCGACGAGGTAGTGGTCGCCCATGAACGGCAGGGGCGAGCGCTCGAGGTCGAAGCACGCCGGCGACTTGAGGTGGTTGTCGATCGCGTCGGGAAGCTGCACGACGTGACCCTTTGGCAGGCGGTCGACGCCGAGGTTGAAGGCGTCCTTCGCGCCTGGCAAGACGAGAGCGTCCCAAGGAAGGGCAGCGACACGCTCAGCGAGCGTCTGCGCCGGTGCGTCGGTCGCAGGGAACGACTTGCGGTCGGTATATGCAACTCGAGGAAAGGGCGATTCGGGTCGAGAGTCGCCGCAGCGGTCGCGCGTGCACTTGCAGTCCTCGGATGCGATGCAAGTGATCGGCGCAGAGCAGTCGCTCGAGCACGTCTGCTGGTCCTTGGCGGTCCATGTCAGCGCCTCGCCGTACGTTGGCCGGCAGACGTCGCTCGTCGAGACGGACGAAGGGCCGGAGCGGACCCGCTGCTGAAGCTTGGTGATGCGGTCGTGCTCGGCGCGCAACTCGTGGCAGCGCTTGACGGCGAGAGTCGACTCGCCAAGCGTTGTTCGTCCGTCTTCCGAGGGGTAGGCGACCTGAGACGTGATGAGCGGGTCCTCCTTGAAAAAGTCCCACACGTCCTTCCGCCGAGATGCCGTCGCGGGACAGCAAATCGGGTTGAACTTCCACAGAAGCGCGTGCGCGTCCTCTCCCGTCGGCTGGAAAAGCAGGCTGCGCTTGGTCGAAGTCGGGTCGCGGAAGGTGAGTCGCCGCTTCGGTTCTTCGCCTTCGGGGACGCCCTCGGTGGGCGGGAGCGTCATCGTGAAGCTCCGCGAGTCGCGCTGGACAAAGTCGATGGTGTACCACTCGGCGATCGGATGGGCGCCCTCCTTGTTCAGTTCCGCAAACTCGCCGCCGTCGACCGTGTCGGCCCACATGACGATCTCGCTTTCGCCGGGTACGAGCTTGCCGTCCTTTCCGACGACGGGACAGCGCATCTGGATGTCGACCTTGTTCTCGAGACCACGCTCGGCGATGATTTCGACGCCGCGGACGCCCTCCTTGTACGGCACGGCGGGCACAAGCGCGATAGGCTCGTCATGCTCGCCCTCGAGGCCTTGGGAGCAGCCGAGGGTGTAGTACGCGCCTTCGATGAGCGTGAGGAGCTGGACGTTGCAGCCGCTCAATGCGAGGAGGCCCTCCTCGAGGACTGGCGTCGAAGGGGGCGAGGAGCAGGCGACGTTGATCTTGGCCGACAGGTGGGTCGTCTGCAATCGAAGGATCGAAGAGATGTACGACTTGAGCGCCGTGTGTACCGAGGTGGTTGGCGTGAAGCCAAGGACCTTGGAAGCGGTCTTGCGCAGCGAGGTCTCGCTCGTGTGAAAGCGCGACTCGGAAGGGGAGGCGACCGCAGGTCGGACCGTCTCAATCTCGGCGTAAGGCGACTCGGACTGGATGAGCGAGATGGCTGTTTGGGCGAGCTCGGCGAGAGGCGAAGGGCGCTTCGAGGAAGTCGAAGGCGGAGGACCGACAATCTCGAGTTCGGCGACAAAGCCAAGCGATTTGAGGTACTCCTTCGACGAGGCGACGTCGAGCATCCGCGCGCCCTGGATGATGGAGCGCGAGGCATCGTCGATGGAGAGGAAGGGCTCGATCTCGGTGGACGAGGTGTAGACGTTGATGGGGAGGTTGCCGAGTGCCGAATGAACGATGTGAGGGACGGGGTCGAAGCGAGAGGCGTAGGGGTCGCCAATGATGGAGAAAGCTGAGGGGAGCTCGAGGAGAAGCGAGTGCAAAGGTCGCTTGGTCGTAAAGGCCTTGATGGCCGACTCGGGAACCTGGACGGTCAGGGTCGACGAGTTGCCGTTGTGGGCGATCGAGGCCTGCGCAGCGTGAGTCAGCAAACAGCTGGCGGACCGGTATGGAGCGCCTGCTCACCTCGTCCCACCTGTCCGCTCGCCGCGGGACGACAACCCAAGGCCGCTCGACCGACTCCGCCTGCTTTTCCATCCCCTCGCGCTTGATCGCCTCCAGAATCGCGTTGATCCCATCCTGCTCAACGCTCCTGCAATCGACCGGATTCGTCCGACACGCCTTGGGGCCGTACGCCGCGAGGTGAACGATACCCGTGACCGGCGGGATGACGGTCGTCGCGAGAGCGTGGCCTTTCTGCTTCGGCCGGCCGAGCTTGGGGTTCAAGAGCGCGGCGGCTTGTTGGTCTGCCGGCAAGTCGGTGTGCGTTGTACCCGCGGGATCGAGGATAGACTTGACGAGTTCCTCGTCGCGCACGTCGCCTACCACGACGCGCAACTTGCCCGACTTGCGGAAATTCTCGACCGAGCGCTCAGAAGCCGAGAAAGCCTGGGTGCGAGGATCGGTACCCTTGATCTTTCCCGCTCCGCCGGGCTTGTCGAGCGGCGCAGACTGGAGGAGGAAGTTGAGTTCGGCCGAACGGTCTGCGACGTCGAGGATCGTGACGAGCACGTCTTCTTCCCAGGTCAACTCGTCGGCTGTTTCGGTTGGTGCGCCCCAGGCGTCGACGCGCGAGGAGGAGCCGCCCGCCGTGAGGAGCAGGTCGCGCACGACGGCTTTGCCGATCGAGCCGAAGCCGCCGGTGACGAGGATATGCCGTCGGTCTCGACTGGCAAAGGAGATGGTGTCGTCTGCGTCGTCGGCGGAGGATGAGGAGGAGGAAGAGGACGACTTTCCGCCGTGCCCGAGTACTCGCGTCGAAGTGAGCTTGATCTTGTCCATGGATGTCCGCGCATCGTAGTACGCCGGCCCAGGCGACGCATTCGACGTCGCAACGAGCTGCATGCACCGGTGGTCAGCCCGCAACACTGCGAAGAACGAGAGAAGCGTCCGCACCTCGTACAAGCTCCCCAACTTTGCGCCCCTGCCCCCGAATCCCGTAATCATCCCCACCCCATCCTTCAATTTTCCCAATCCCGCTCCTACTCGTCCCCTCACGCCCTCCTCCCAATCCGCATAATGATCCAGCCCTAACCGTTCTCCCCATCCCGAATCTGTTCCCCCCTCCGCAAGGGGCGAGTCGTAGTATGGTGAGGGAGAGGGAGAGGGGGAGGAGAAGGAGGAGAGGAAGTGGAGGATGAAAAGGGTCAAGAAGGCGAGTGAGCCTAGTCGGACGAGGGAGGAGAGACGGAGGGAAGGCATCGTGCAGAGACGCGCGCTGAGAGCCGCGTATCTGGCTCAAGTCGGTTCGAGAGGTGTACTCAGTAGCTATGTACGTCGCTTGTGCGCCCTGCGCGGGTCGGAGTCGCCGTTGTCGCGTGCGGGAGGC